GATCAAATAAATGCAGCCTTGATGAGCAGAAGAAACTCCTGTAAAAACATTAAAAATCATTCTGATCCCAAACTTTTGACCGGTAGTGTAGGTCTACATAAAATCACACTATTTCATTTAAAAATAGTAAATAATACATGCATGACAATTTCTGCAATGGAATTTCATTTTTTATTTATTTGTTTGTTTGTTCATTAATATTTACTAAAATAATTAGCATAAATTATTCATAGACAGATTTATACTTTGACTAGCAGCTTATTGATTCTGTATTCCTATTGTAGCATTGTTCGCAAATCAAGAAACACAAATAAATAAACTAAACGCTAACCAAAAGCACACTTTGTGCGCACTGCGATCAAATCCGTTTAACACGCGCCAACAGAACTGGAATTGAAATCTACAGTTGCACATAGATAAAGTGCAATAAAATGAACACTAAAATGTTGATTTGGGATGTTTTCTGCACACTAGTCTGAAAGAAGAATGATGTGAAAGCAAAACTGAGCCGTGCATGAAGAAACACTGGTTTTGTCTTAGTAAATGAGCCAAGTGTGACCTTAAAATGAACTCTGCAACAAATGTAACAGCTTCCTTTGCAGGCGCACACTGTTACACTGTTACAAACACACTGGCTCAGACTGCAGGCTGTGTTTAATACTTCTGTGCAAAAGTCTTAGGCTATTAGTATTTTCACCAACAACAACAAAAGAATGGTTTTAAGTCAGTTATTTCTATCTTTTGCTGTAGTGTGTCAGAAGGAAATATCAGTTTACATTTCTTTTGCCATTAATTGTAATAACTTAAAACCATTTTTTTGTTGTTGGTGAAAATACTAATGGCCTAATACTTTTGCACAGTACTGTACATGAAAAAGCATTATAGCGGTTGCCCTTTAATTATTAGAAGAACTGTCAAATAAAGACAGTAAACGATTGAAGATGGAGAATGCAAGCTCCTGTGCGTCTGCGCTCAGGCTGTGTCAAAATAAAAGTCCTGCTGCTGACGCTCATAGGGCAGAACAGAAAAACTCAAGGCAAATACTGACCAATAATATCAGGACTGGCGATATATATCGGTCGACCACTAGTTGAAATTACCCGTTTTTGCTCTTGCAGTCTCTCCTTCTCGTCTTCTTTCTGTCTCTCTTGATCTCTGAGCTCCTGCATCTTCCTCCTCTCCTCTCGCTCTTCCAGCTCGGCCTGAAACACACACACACACACACATTAATAACCAGACGTCTGATACGGGTGAAGTGTGAGATGTAGCAGCAGTGCTGTAACCTCTCTCTGAGCTTTCCGCGCTTGTTTCTCCTCCAGCTTCTTCTGTTTCTTCGCTCCGACTTTAGCAGCGGCTTGAGGACGTTCTTCAGACGGCTGCCTGTCTTCCTGATCCTCATCCGCTTCCACAGGACTGTCCTCTGAAGAGACAGAACGAGACAGTTTAGCGTTTAGTGACTAATCTAAACTCTAAAGTGTTCCGTGACGCAACTTAAAGGGATAGTTCACCCCAAGAATGAAAATGTGATGTTTATCTGCTTACCCCCAGTGCATCCAAGATGTAGGTGACTTTGTTTCTTCTGGCGTAGTTTACGCAAGCACCGGAAGTGATCTCTCGCGCGTATACGTCACTCATTGTTTACACAGTGCACAGTCATTGTAGGTACGACGGCTAATCAAAATGGTACTTACTTGCGCTTATCCGGATTGTTCAAACCGACTTAAAACTAAAAGATTACGTTCTCTCGCGCGAACTCATTCGGGAGTGGTGACTTTCCACGTATTCCCAACTTCTGAGCCTGCTCGCCTGAAGTTATGGTTGATTGCTCTTCGGCGGGATATCAACACACCCATTAACGTAAACTACGCCAGAGCGCGTACACACCTCACGCACCGGATGCCGTGCGCGCGCCCAAAGACAGTTGGACATAGTGGTGTATTAGAGGTAAAAAAAAATGATATAAATACTGTTCGGTTTCCGGCACAAACCGATCGTTTCGTGTCTTAGGACATCAATGTGTCGTCACGAGCCGCAGGGTTTAATTTGGATTTGTCTGTGCATGTTTTTTTTACTCTCATAGATTTTGTTACCATTGCCATGCATTATACGACTGATAGACTGCAACGGCTGGACTTAAAAATCATAATTTGTGTTCTACTGAAGAAACAAAGTCACCTACTTGGAGTAAGCAGATAAACATCAGATTTTCATTTTGGGGTGAACTATCCCTTTAAGGCAAGACACTACATGTGAGGAGAGTAAAAGATGTTTAACTAATAGACAGAACCATTCTTTCCCCAGCTGATTAATCAGAGCAATTCCTCTGTACTACAAGATTTCTGAAATGCTGTGTTTAGATATGCAAACGAGCAATTATGTAATATGCACTTTGCATACATTTCCAGAACAGAAATCTGAACATTAGATAAAGCCAAAGTTCTTGTTTGATTTTGTTGTCATATGTGACCCTGGAACATCAATGGAAAGCTTATTTATTCAGCTTCAGATGATGTATAAATCTCAATTTCACAAAATCGACCCCCTTATGACTGGTTTTGTGCTCCAGGGTCACATATTAGAGTTAAAGGTTTTTCCAGAGGGGATTCTGGAAAATACTGTCAGAGCACTGAATGAAATGTTGCATAAATCAGCGTGAATGATATTTGAACAAACCTTCAGAATACAGACAGGACTAAAAACGTGTTATGTTTGGTGTATGCAAGAGAAAAACTCCTTAAAGATATGGATTGAGATTGAAATCTACAGATGCAAATAGATAAGAGTGTGAAAATAAACACTTAAATGTGAATTTTTAATGTTTTCTTCACACCAATCTGAAAGAAGACGAGACATGGAAGCAAAACTGACCAGTGCATGCATTAGTAAATGAACCAGGTATGACCCTAAAATGAACTCTGCAACAAATGTAACAGCTTCCTTTGCAAGCACACACTGTTACACTGTTGCAAACACACTGGCTCAGACTGCAGGCTTGCTGTACCGTTGTCTGACGGCCGCTGCGCGCGCTGGACGTTCACTCTGCTGTGCACTTGCGCCTGTGTCTTCTGCAGCTTCTCGAACATAACGTGGTGTAGTCATGAGCTGCTAGATCAAATTTAAATAATGCTTCTACAAACAAAGATATGGTCTTGTTTAGGGATCTGACAGACCCCAGTGTTTCTCAGCAATAGTGTGCACCCTTCATTTACAGAGAAAAGTATGTCCGGGAAAAATCTGTAGATGGAAGAATCTCCATACAAGTTCTTTGTGCATTTTTCTTTTTACTTTGCACTTTTTGTTAGAAAATATTTATTTACTATTTATTCATTTTTTTTAAGGTATCTAATATTTTGATACTTAATGTCCTTGATCTAAATATTCTTAAAAAGTTTGTTGTCATTTGGAAGCATGTAGGCCTTCTTGCATTATTATGCCGTTACATTATGATTATATATTCAGTGGCATAAAATGGTCTTTAAAATGACAATAATATAACTTATCGCAATTATTTCTGGGGCAATATATCGCTCAACAAAATAGTTGTTATCGTGACAGGCCTAGCAGTTATATATTTTCATGTATAAATATCCAATTCAGACTAATTTAAATTGGTAAACTATATATCAAATTTAAAATAATATTTGAAAAATATTTTTTCGACTCACTATAGCACTGTACCGCTAGATGTATTATTTCTTTAATCACATTTTTATATCTTTTTAATTATTTATTATTTAAGTAAATAATTACATTATTGTTTGTGTGTTTATTTTTTTAACATTTTTATTTATTTACTTACTTATTTTAATCTTTTCGTGTTATTTGTTTTATATTATTATCCATTTTATTTATTGTTTTTCACTAAATCTTTCCATCAATCCCCCAGCCCACAGAAAGTTTTTTTTTTTTTAGGGTGTCAAAGTTAAAATTAAAAGTAAAATTGCTCTGGAATGATATTTATTACAAAAAGTGATATGCAATTAAATTAGAATTAAATAAAAAAACTAGCATTACTCGAAAAGTGGGTACAAACAAATATCAAATTAATACAAGGTCAATATTTTTCTGAAAATATTTTAATTTGACCTCAGAACAGGAACAATATAAACATTATTTTATTTAGCATTTTTACTGTCACTCTGTTCTCACACAGTATCATCAGGTCCGTAAACACAAAGATTATTTCAATATAAGATTAAAGATTAAACGCAATATAGTTCCTTTACATTTTAGGAAAGGCGTCCCTTGCAATGGGATCATCACATTAGCGGGTCTCTGGCATCAAAATAGCTGAAAACCCAGTAACGTTACAGTAATTTCTCATGAGACTGAGCCTCCTCTCATATTTCTATTCTATACATTTCTATGCATCTGTCAGTTGCGTCTCTGATGTTACTTCCATATCACTCACCTTCTTCAGTCCGTCCGCGGACTTTTACAGCAAACACTATGAGAACGAGCAGAAGAACCGCGGCTACAATATACAGAATCACATCCATTTCAATCGCTACAAATAAAATAAATTCTAAACTGCTCGCAAAACAGCAAATTCACAGCCTCGGCGGAAGTTGACGATGCTTTAGCTCGAGCGTCACTTCCGTGTCACAGGCTCACAGCGACCCCTAACGGTGCAGACGAAAAAAACATGAATATAAATATAATATACACCTATATAACACATCAATTATACACTTGTATTTACTATATAATGACTATATAACTTTATTTGACCCTCTAACTCCAGCACCTTCTATTCTATTTTAATTCTACTTTATATTTATCTTCTTTTTTTATTTTTTAAGAAAACAAAACAAAAAAACACTAGCTTTCTATTTTTTCTATTCTATCTACTTGTTTTTCTTTGTGTGTGTGTGTGTGTGTGTGTATGTATAATATATGTATGTGTGTGTATGTATATGTATGTATGTATATATATATATATATATATGTGTGTGTGTATATGTGTATGTGTGTGTGTGTATGTATATGTATGTATGTAT